GAAAAAAGAGGGAAAAGGGGGTGGAAAAGGAGACGCTTCCCCTGCCTGCACCGACGGGAGGGAACGGGGAGAAGCCCCCTGGAATCACAGCTCCCTGCCCCGCCGTCATTCCCACCCCGGAGCCGCTGCCATTCCCGGCAATTCCAGCCGGCTTTTCCCTCTCCCAGCTCCGATCCCGGCTGGATCCCGGCTGGATCCCGGCTGGATCCCGGCCGGAGCCCGCTTGGATCGCGGTCGGAGCCGGGCGGGCGCGTCCCGGCAGCGCCGAGCCGGGCGGAGCCCGGGAATGTTTCTTGTGGATCCAGGAGCTGCCCCCGATCCCGGGGGGTGCCCACCCACGGCGCTGGGAGCAGCGCCAGGCGGGAATTCCCCTCCCCGCGCCTTTCCCTCCTTGGAAGAGCGGCAGGAAGGGCCCGGTGAGCGCTGGGATGGGGAGGGAGCGCTGGGATGGTCCCGGTGCAGCCCCCGGGATGATCCCAGTCCAGTCCCTGGCGATGTTCCCATTCCATCCATACGGGATTCTCCTGGTCCAGCCCCCGGGATAACCCCAGTCCAGTCCCCCTGGATGATCCCAGTCAAGTCCTTGGGGATGTTCCTGGTGCAGCCCTTGGGATGTTCCCATTCCATCCCTATGGGATGCTCCTGGCCCAGTCCCTGGGGATGTTCCCAATCCAGTCCCCGGGAATGTTCCCAGTTCAGCCCTTGGGATGTTCTCATTCCATCCCTATGGGATGCTCCCGGTCCAGTCCCTGGGGATGATCCCAGTCCATCCATACGGGATTCTCCTGGTCCAGTCCCTGGGGATGATCCCAGTCCAGTCCCTGCTGATGTTCCCATTCCATCCCTATGGGATGCTCCTGGTCCAGTCCCTGGGGATGATCCCATTCCATCCCTATGGGATGCTCCTGGTCCAGTCCCCTTGGATGTTCCCAATCCAGTCCCTGGGATGTTCCCACTCCATCCCTATGGAATGTTCCCAGTCCAGCCCTCGGGATATTCCCACTCCACCCCTCCAGGACGCTCCCAATCCATCCCCAGGAGATATTCCCACCCCATCCCTCAGGATGTGCCTCAGCTTTGGGAAAAACCTTGGAGAGATTCCCCCCAACCCAACCCAACCCAACCCAACCCAACCTCCCCCCAAAAAAAAACCCCGAGGCCCAGCAGCACCAGCTTTGTTAAAAGGTTTTTATTTAACTTTTTAATTTGAGGTAAAATACTTTTTGTTTGTAATTTTTTTTTTTGTTGGTTTTTTTTTTTGTGTGGTTTTTTTTTTTTTCTTTCAACTTCCATAACAAAATACAGAGCTATCAGATACCCCTGGAAAAAAAATATGTATATTATACATATATTTCTATAACATTACATCATATATATATATAATATATATATGCAACCTTTTTTTTTCTTTTCTTGAAGACTTTATAGAAAGTGGAACGTCTAAAGGCACTGCACAATGGAGTATTGAACTACTTTACATGGTATGTACACGGACACACACGTTCAATCCCAGGCTCTGGGTCTGCATCCTCACTAATCCCTGCGGAATCAACTCCAGGAAAAGTCAAAGAACATGCCTCAGGAAAAGTGATTTCAGGGGGAGGAGAAAAAAAAAAATAACTCAAAATACACCCCCCCCCCCCTTTTTCTACCTTAAAAGCACTAAAGAAATCAACGTGT